ACAGCCTAGTGGTGGGCTGGGAAGTCGAGGCTAGCCTGGAAGCGGAGCAGCAGGGACGCCACTTGCGCGACGAGGGGATGGTCTGGATAGTCATGATATTCTGCCAGTGCATGCTGAACGCCGCCTTCACCGTGGAGCTTGTGCTGAGGGCGCAGGAGGGCGGCTTTGAGTACGTCTCGAGTTTCTCCGGCAGCTTCGACGTGTTCTTGGTGGCCTTCTCCTGGATGGACATCGGCGTGGCGCTCTATGGCCTGCAGCACCCCCTGCTCACCGCAGCATCCACATTTGTGCGGCTCCTGCGCGTGGTGCGGATCTTCCGCCTGCTGCGGCTGCTGCCGGAGCTGCGGCTGCTGGTGTCGGCATTGCTGGCGACGTTCCGGTCCGCCAGCTGGGCGGTGCTGATGATTTTTCTGCTGGCTTACGCGAGCTCCCTGATCTGCACTGACGCCTTCGCAGGGAGCTCGAACGAGGATATCAGGTTTCTGTTTGGCTCCGTCGGCAGCAGCATGGTGACGCACGCCAAGCTCGTATTCGTGGAGGCGTGGCCTGACCTGGTGAAGCCAATGCTCGAGGAGAATGGCCTGTGGGCCGTGTACTTCATTGCATTCATCCTATTGACGAACATAGCTCTGATGAACGTCGTCACTGGAGTGATTTGTGAGCAGGTGATGGAGCTGGCTAGTCAGAGTATACCAGACCACTCCAAGACCATGGAGGAGCTGCAACTGTGGAGGTCTCGGGTGTGGGAGTTGTTCTGTGACTTTGACTGGGACGGGAGCGGTGCACTCAACACCGAGGAATGTTGCGGCCTGATGCACTCGGACAAAATGCGGGAGGTGATGCTCGAGATGGGGGTTGGCTTGCCTCTCGAACGGGAACACATGCTCACCGTACTCGACGAGACGGGCTCTGCCCAGGCCTCCTTCGAATTCGTGGACGTGTTTGCCGGCATTCTGAGGCAGCGGGGCACGAAGTCCGACGGCTTGTCCCAGTCACTCCAGTACGTCCGCGCCCAGCACGACCAGCAAAAGTCCAGGAGCATCGCCCAGATCAAGCTCCGAGCGAGGCGCGACATGGACACCTCGGTGCGGGGCGCCGCCGCCTGCCTGTGCGGGCGAGCGGAAGCCGCCGGCTCCCGAGCGGCGGGAGCGCTGCTGGCGCTCGGGAGGGCGCCCCCGGCGCGCTGCTCGCACCTCGGGGGCCCGCCGACGCCCGCGGGCGGGCCAGGGCGGCGGGGCGCCGGGGCGCTCGCCTGCGGAGCCGTCGGGGAGGCGTGCGCGGAGCTGCAGAGGCTCTCCTCCGAGTTGGCCTCCGCAGCAGGCCGGTCGCTTCGGGGGCCGGCCCAGGCGCCAGCGCCGGGGCCGACGGCTGCCAGCATGCCCGCCGCAGCGCAGAGAAGGCAGCGGCAGGTGGAGCACCGCGAGGCGGCATCGCCTTTGGAGCTGGCGGGCGGCACTGCCCACGTGCGCGTGCAGGCCGTACGCGGTCTCGAGGCACTGGGCGGCCACTTGACAAGAGGGCAGATGGACCTCCGCGTGGTGGTGCGGTTGGGCGGAGCGGAGCGCACGACCTCCGCGGCGTGCTACAGCGTGGACCCCGCGTGGTCCAGCGACACCACTTGTTCTTTCCACATCCCAGTGCCGCGCAGCGCATCCTGGCTGGCGCTGGAGGTGCTGGACGCAGGCCTCGGCGCGGACATGCTCGTTGGCGCCGCCAGCCTGGACCTCGCCACGGTGCCGCCGGGCCAGTGGAGCACCTGCCGCGAGCCCCTGGTGGGCGGCGCGGGCGCTGGCGGAGAGCTGATCTTTTGGATCCGCTTCGAGCCCTCGCCCGCGGGCGGGGCGCGGACCCCCGGCCGGCCGACCGTGGGCGCGGCGGCCCAGCGGGCGCCGCGGGCGCTGGGCGGGCCGCAGCCCGCGCAAGGCGCCCGCCGAAGCGGCGGCGGCGCCGCCGCCGCGAGGCCGGGCGGCGGCCCCCGTGCGGTCGGCAGCCTGGCCCGTCTGGCGCGGGATGCGGCCCCGCGGCCGCGCGCCTGGCGCGGCGCGGTCGGCGCCGACGCCCGCGCGGGAAGCGCCGCGGCTGCCGGAGAGCGCGCAGGGCCCGCAGCCCGCGGCGCCGGGCGGGGCGGGCGGGGCCGGCCTCCCTGCGCCGCCGCCCACGGGCCTGGCCGCCAGGGCAGCGGCAGCGGCAGCGCGGGGGGCCGAGTGCTCCGAGCTGGTGATAGAGACCGCCCTGGTCGCACTGGAGATGGCCGGTCCTCAGGAGCTGCCGGACGTGGCGTGGTCGTCCCCGGCGGGGCCATCTGGTGCACGGAGGGTGGGCGACGGGGCTCTGGTCGCCACGAGGAGCGCTGCCCCAGTCGAGTTGCCAGACGTGGCGTTGCAGCTCCCAGCAGGCGCGGACAAGGCGGGGGGAGCGGGTGCCTGGTCCAGCATTCCTGCGCCGCCACCCACGGGCCTGGTCGCCAGGGCAGCGGCAGCGGCAGCGCACGGGGCCGAGTGCTCCGAGCTGATGATAGAGACCGCCATGGTCGCGCTGGAGATTGCCGGTCCTCTGGAGCTGCCGGACGTGGCGTTGCAGCCCCCAGCAGGCGCGGACAGGGCAGGGGGGGCGGGTGCCAAGGATCTCTCTCCTGAGGGTGGCGGTCCACTCGAGCGGGCGGACACGCCGCACCTCCCAGGGGCGAGCGCGCGGGGCGACGCGCCGCCCGCGGGCTGCACCGCGGCAGCCGGCGCCGCCGCAGCCCCGAGGGCGCCGGACGCGCCGATCGTCCCCGCCCCGCTCGCAGCCGCGGCCGGGGAGCTGCCGACGCGGGGCCGGATCGGGCAAGCGGCCATGGAGGCCCTGCAGCAGGCTCAGATCGTGAACGGCATGGCCACCTGGGCCCTGGAGGAGGGCGCTGCGCAGCGGGTGCGCAGCCGCCCCGCGGACACCTCCGCCTGCGGCCTGCAGGACGGCCTGGCGCGGCCAGAGCGCGCCGTCCTCGCGGCCACCGCGCAGGGCGCGTCCTCCGCGGCTGGAGGTGCAACTGCTATTGTGCATCCGCTTCGCACATTCCGCCGGCCATGTTGCATCATCCTTGCACTTCGCCTTTTTGGGTGGTGGTAGTTCCCCCCGCGCTGTCGCCGCGTAAGGAGGAAGCAGTCGCTTGGTCGACATGGAACACGTTCCCACCCAAGCTTCGGCATCGACGCCCGAAGACACGAGCAGGCAATGTCAAAAAACGAGCCTCCTGAGGGACTCTTGGGAGTCGCAGGCAGGCTGTGGGGGGGTCTTGTGGGCGTCTGAGGCGCTCATTGGAGCCTCCCGTCACCACCCACCAAACCACCCCAACCCAACCCGAAGGCTCAGATTTACCCTCGATTTCCAGTGGGGGGGGGTCGGGAAACATCGAGAAAACACATGTGGAACCCGTACCCCCCCCCAACCCGAAATTCGGGTCTTCGGGTTGGGTTGGGGTGGTCTGGTAGGTAGTCATCCCGGGGGCCTCCTGGGGCTGTCTTCGAGCACGCGGGGCTACATTTGGGCCACGCGCGGCGGGCTCGGAGCCACATGTTGTGGTCGTCCCGAGGCCTGCCGCCGAGTGGTCCCCGCTCTCGGGCCCGCTTGGGGCCCTCCTGGGGCCCTCCTTGGGGCCTGCTGTGGCATCCTCCTCCTCCTCCTCCTCCTCCTCCTCCTCCTCCTCCTCCTCCGCCTCCTCCTTCTCCTCCTCCTCCTCCTCCTCCTCCTCCTCCTCCTCCTCCTTGGGCCCTACGGGAGCTCCGCTGGGCCTTCCTGGGGCCACCACGGGCCCCAGTCAAGCCCGTTGGGGCCCGGAAGGGCGAGAACGCCGTGATCATCAGAAGCGTAATCGGTGCTTTTACTTACTCTAGAGGCTCTTGTGGGCCTCCGAGGAGAGGGGTTCGGCAGTCTCGAGCCGCACTCGCAGACAAGTGGGCAGTCTTGGCTCAGCTGGGGCAATCTTCGTGCAATGCTTGGGGCCCGTGAAGCCAACCTTGGGGCAGACAGTGGTTTGCCACCCACTGACCAGCGCTAGGTGGCCGCCTCTGGGGCCTCTCGGGGCTCTCCCGGGGCCCTCTCGGGGCTCTCTCGGGGCCCTCCTGGGGCCACCTCTAGGCCCGAGAAGCCCGAGAAGCCCAGTGAAGAGTGGAGTCCGCCAGGGCGAGACGGCAGCAAAAGCATCGAAGAGCAGAGAGCTTTTCCGTATCTGGCTTGGGCCTTTTTGGGAGCCTGCGCGGGGGCGAATCGTCCGCCGCCTTGCGGTGCCCTTGCGGTCCACGGGGCTGCCTCGGGCTGTGTGGGCACTCTGGGGGCCACCATCTGGGGGCCACCTCGGGACCGTCTCTCAGGCCTGGCGCCGATGCGCCCGGCGCTCCTATGGTCTATGGTCCCCTCTTGGGCCCCTCGGGGCCCTCTGGACACCCTCCGGGAGCCGCCCCAGGTCCCCTTCGAAGCCCTTTGGGAGCCCGCCAGGGCGAGCACGCGCCAAACACCTCGAAGCGCCTCCCTGGCAGCCTCCGGGGAGAGGTCCTTCGGCCATCTGGGGTCGCCTTGGAGCCCATGATGTCAATGATGGAGGCAGCCTCTGGACAACGAGGAGCCGCACCGGGGCCTCCTTGGCAGCACAGCGGGGTCATCCTGTGGCGCCCTCGGGGGGGGGAGGGGGGCTATTGCTGCCTGAAGGCCTGCACGCCGCGGGCCCGCTGGGCCGGCGAGTTTCGCGCGAGGGCGCCTCCGTGGCCGACGGCCTGGCGCGGCTGCCTCGCGGAGGCCCCGAGGCCGCCGCGGAGGACGCCTCCGCCGCCAGCAGCTCGACGCGGGCGACTCCCGGCGGCCCCGCGGCCACCGCGGAGGAAGCCCCCGAGGAGCCGCGCGGCGCCGCCGCGGGGGGGCCGCGGGCCGAGGCTGGGCCCTCGGAGGAGCCCCCCCGGGGCCCGCGGGCCCCCCCCGCCTCCGCGAGGAGCGCTGCCCGAGCCGAGCTGCCAGGCGCGGCGCTGCAGGTCCCAGCGGGCGCCGACCGTGCGAGGAGCGCGGGCACTCGCGAGGGTGCCGGCCCGCCCGAGCCGGCGGAGGACCTGCCGCGCCTCCCGGGAGGGAGCGCGCGGGCCAGCGCAGCGCCCGCAGGCTGTCCCCCGGCAGCAGGCGCCGCCGCAGCCCCGAGGGCGCCGGACGCGCCGATCGGCCCTGCCCCGCTCGCAGCCGCGGCCGGGGGGCTGCTGACGTCGGGCCAGATCGGGCAAGCGGCCATGGAGGCCCTGCAGCAGTCGCAGATCGTGAACGGCATGGCCACCTGGGCCCTGGAGGAGGGCGCTGCGCAGCGGGTGCGCAGCCGCCCCGCGGACACCTCCGCCTGCGGCCTGCAGGACGGCCTGGCGCGGCCAGAGCGCGCCGTCCTCGCGGCCACCGCGCAGGGCGCGTCCTCCGCGGCTGGAGGTGCAGATGCTGCCATTTCGCAGAGAAGCGCTTCCGTGACCAGCGGCTTGGCTCGGCTGGACATTGCCAAGGAAGCCCCCGAAGAGCCATGCGGCGCTGCCCTGTGGAGGCCATCTGTGGCGGTGCCCGGCGCCAGAGTGGCGCTTGACAGCTCGTGCTCGGACCTCGACGGTCCTACTGTGCTTGTCGAGGGTGCCGCCTCTGCGGCGCAGGCGCGTGGGCGCGAGGCAGCGGACGAGGCCGTGGAGGTGCTCAGGAGGGCCGAGGCGCTGTCTGCGGCGCAGGCGCGTGGGCGCGAGGCAGCGGACGAGGCCGTGGAGGTGCTCAGCTGTCCGGAGGGCCGAGGCGCTGAGCCAGGCCGTGGTGCTGGCCCTCCGCGGCGCCGACCGCGCCTCGGCCCACGAGCCCGCAGGCGGCCCGGCGGCCGCCCCCACCCCGCCACGGCCCGGGGGAGACGGAGAGGCTCCCGTGCCGGGCGACGGCTCCAGCGCGCGCTCGGGCGCGCCCGGCCCAGCGCCGCCGCAGCTCCAGGGCACCCTCCCAGGCGGAGGAGCTCCCGTGGCGGGGGGCCTCGGCCCGCCCTCGGGCGCGCCCGGCCCGGCGCCGCTGCCGCCCGAGGCGCTGGCGGCGACGGAGCCCGAGGGCAGCGGAGAAGCTCCCCCGGGGGGCGGCGGCTGCAGCGCGCCCTCCGGCGCGCCCGGCGCGCCGCCGCCGTTCAGGGGCGACGGAGAGGGCCCTGCGGCGGGCGGCTCCGCCAGCGCTCCGGGCCAGGACTCCGCGGGGGGGGGCCAGGAGCCCTCCTCCTCCTCCTCCGCCTCCTCCTCTCCTCCTCCTCCTCCTCCTCCTCCTCCATCCTCCTCTCCTCCTCCTCCTCCTCCCTCCTCCTCCTCCTCCTCCTCCTCGTCGTCCTCCTCCTCCTCCTCCCTCCTCCTCCTCCTCCTCCTCCTCCTCCTCCTCCTCCTCCTCCGTCCTCCTCCTCCTCCTCCTCCTCCTCCTCGTCCTCCTCCTCCTCCTCCTCCTCCTCGTCGTCCTCCTCCTCCTCCTCATCCTCCTCCTCCTCCTCCTCCTCCTCCTCCTCCTCCTCCTCCTCCGGGCGAGGAGGAGCCCGGGGAGGGCGGCGACCGCGGCGAGCCGGAGCCCGCGGAGGCGGAGAGCGAGGACGACGAGGAGGAGTACACGGACGCGTCCTCCGAGGACGGCGAGGAGGAGTCCCCGGAGGAGGGCCAGTGGGAGCCCGGGGGGCGCGGGGGCTCCGTCGTGTCCGTCGTCGGCTTCGTGTAGGGGCGCAGCGGGTCGTGCCGCCGGTCCCGTTGCGGCCGTGGGTCTGCCGCGCGGCGCGCCCCCGCTGCAAGGGCTGAATGAAGTTCGTCGCTCTGCAGACATCGGGTGCCTCGAAAAAATCGAGACGGAGGTTTTTCGTGGTTTTCGGCCTCTCGAGGCCCTCGCCGGGCCTCGGGACCGTCAAAAAACGACTCGGGACGAAAAACCGGCCCCGGGGAAGTGGTCGGGAGGTCGGGGGCCCGTGTCTCGAAAAAATCGAGACGTCGGATGTTTGGGTCTGCACGTGTAGGCCACGCGGGCTGACGCGCGTGAGCCGATGGTCGGTGGAACAAGAGAGCGCCGCGAAACAGCACAGCCGAGCCTTAGCTGCCACAATCAGCAGGATGGTGCAGGGCAGCAGACAATTACCCAGGGACGCACCCGAACGCATCTGCGACGAGCGGTGCCATCAACGGGCTCATCCAGAACAACCTGGCATTCGAAAGGGCACGTGGCCAGTTTTGAAGGAGGATGAAAAAGGGGTTCAGAAAGGAGAGGGTAGGTAAGACGGGCACGGCCACAAGGCGTCATCCCGCTGGAGCCCGCAGGGGGCGCAGCAAAGTTGCGACAGCTGCACGCCTGGCGACCCCCAGTGAGGGCGAGGTCCTGCTGTGTGCAAGTCGTCGCTCCGCTGAGCCTCCCAGAGTCGCAGCAGAATGTCGACAGGGGCACGCCTCGCAGCACCCGCGGAGAGCGAGGTCCTGCTCGGGCTGCGCTGGCGGCCGCCCCGCTGGACCTTTCGGGGGCGCAGCAGAGTGGCGGCTGCCGCACGCCTGTCGACACCCAGGGAAGACGAGATCCCGCCGGGCCTGCGCAGGATGTCACTCCGTTGGGCTCCCCACGGGAGCACGAGCAGCAGCATGGCGACAGTTGCGCTCGTGGCACGCCGCTGGGCCCCCATGGCGGTTGCGCGCCTGACGGCACCCAGGTAGCGTGGGGGAGAGGCAGAGAGGAAGAGGCGAGCAGCCAGGGATGGCGAGGGGGGAAGAGAAAGCGAGGAAAGAGCGAGCAGGAAACAATGAGGAAGCGATGAGGAAGGTAGCGGGTGCGAGATGGAAGAAGCAAAGGTGCTCATCTGCGTTCGATTCAAAGCGACGGCCGCGACGGCCCCACATGCGTCGGACGGCTGGAGCGTCGAAAGAGGGCGAGAGAAGGCCACAGGAAGCCCTGCACCCCGTGCCCTCATCGACCACTCCCTCATGCCGCTCCCCGCCCGCTCCAGCTTCCTCCCCCCTTCTCCTCCCTCGCTCCCCTGCCGCTCCTCCTCCCCGCTGCCCCATCCCTGTCCTCTCCCGCTCTTCACTCCCCTGCCGCCGACGTCCCTTCCACGAGCACGCGATGCTCAGCCCAGGGCCTGGAGCTCGCGCGAAATCCGCACCGGCGGCATTGCCAGGGCACCCGTGGCGAGGACGCAGCGCCTCGTCGAGGCGCCCCCGTGCACCCCCTGTCGGCTCCGCCCTCCCCTCCGAGGGCTCGCGCCGGCAGCTGTCTCGGCATGGGCGACCGAGGGCGCTGCACCCACGTCTGGCGCTGGCCCGGGATCGGCGTGTGCGCTCTCCCGGCGCCTGGAGGCCTGGAGGAGGAGGAGGAGGAGGAGGAGGAGGAGGAGGAGGAGGAGGAGGAGGAGGATGAGGAGGAGGAGGAGGACTCACTCAGACACAGAAGGAGGAGGAGGAGGAGGAGGAGGAGGAGGAGGAGGAGGGGAGGAGGGGAGGATTTGTTTAACTCTGCATGGTGCCCTGGAGGTGAGGAGGAGGAGGAGGAGGAGAGGAGAACGAGGAAGGAGGAGGAGGAGGAGGCAGGAGGAGGAGGAGGAGGAGGAGGAGGAGGAGGAGAGGAGGAGAGGAGGAGGAGGAGGAGGAGGAGGAGAGGAGGAGAACGAGGAGGGACTCACTCAGACACACACACACACACACGCACCACACACACACACACGCACGCACCCGCACACACACACGCACAGCGCACACGCACACGCACACGCACGCACACGCACGCACACGCACACCGCACACGCACGCGCACACGCACACGCACACGCACACGCACACGCACACGCACGCGCACACGCACGCACGCGCGCGCGCGCGCGCACGCGCACGCACGCACGCACGCACGCACACACGCACGCACGCACGCGCAAGCACGCACGCACGCACGCACGCACGCACGCACGCACGCGCACGCACGCACGCACACCACACACACACACACACACACACACACACACACACACACACACACACACACACACACACACACACACACACACACACACACACACACACGCTCCTCCGCGGGCGATGTGACGCCGCAGTCGCGATAATACCACGACGGGCTTCGTCGAAGTGAATGGACACACACACACACACACATTCACACACACACATACAGCCGAGCCCGTCTAAAACCGAGCCCTCCCGTCGCTCAGACCGAGCAGCGCCGCGACCAGCCATGAATCATGCGGGCGTAGATCACGGGGGTCAGACGAGGTGAGCAGGCAGCCGCCCGGCATGGAAACGACATGCTGGAAGGGCAATGGAGGCACACGCTTTTTCTCGTCAGCGGCGAGGCGGCGAACTCCGCTCCAGCGAGAAGCTAGACAGGGGCACCGACTAGCGAATTGGCCGGCGGGCACAGAGGGGGGGGGGTGGACGGCCCAGAGGAAGAAGGGACGCTCAGACGCCGAAGAGTTCGACGATGAGCAGCCGTGGGGGGGGGGGGGGGGGAGCAGCAGCCAGGCGCGCAGGGCCCCAGCGCGGTGGGCGGCCGTGGCAGGAGGCACACGCGCACGCGCACAGGCACCAGTGCTGGGCCCGGGGCCAGCCCGGCCAGGGTCGCTGCGGGGTGGACGGCCGGCGTCCTCGGGCAGCCCACCCGCTCGGGGGCGCGAGGGGCAGCCGCGCCCCGCGGTCCCGAGCGCTGCTCCCCCCCGTCGGGGGCGGCACCGCGAGGGGCGCGCAGGTGGCACAGCTCAGGAGGGAGACAAGCACACCCAGGCAACATGGATCGTCGAGTCCCTCGAAAGGACGGGAAGGCATGGGAAGTGGGGGGGAGACGAAGGCCCAGGAGATGTGGGAAGCTATGGGGAGTCCTGGAATTCGTGTGTACTTAATGGTGTGTCCCGGGGCCCCCTCGCACATAACACGCACGCACGCACGCACGCACGCACGCACGCACGCACGCACGCACGCACACAGACAGACACACACACACACACACACACACACACACACACGCGGACATACACTCACGCGGACCACACTCACGCGGACCACCCACTTAACGTCACCCGCCCCTCAGAGACCCGGAGCCCGTTGGGCGTCGCGCAATGGGGGGGCAATCCATGGGGGGCAGCGAGGGCTGCAGTTAGGGAGCCCTGAAGGGTTCCTAGAGGGGCCCGTTGGGGCACAAAAGCGGGCCTCGAGGGCCCGAGAATTGCATCTTTCTCCCCCCCTTTTCGCCCCCCCATTAAGCGACGCCGGAGCCCAGCCCGCGCGGAATGGGCGTGACACCTGCGTTCTAGCGACACGCTTGTCTCGGAATGATGCTCTGGCTTGTGCGTGGGTCACATCTCGGCTTGACAGGGCTGCTTTCTCCTAGGCGCCGACGACATGCGGCGACATCCTTCACTGAGCATGTCGTTCTCGCCTTGGCGCCGGCCACATCTTTGATTCAAAAGGGTGCTGCCGCCTTGGCGCCGGCGACATCCTTCATTGAGCCGTTGATCACGGCAGCTTTGATGGGCCAAGCTGGCTGTGGCGCAGTGTCGACAGGGGCTGGGTTAGGTTAGGTTAGGGTCAGGAGGGAAAGAGACACACAGACACAATGAATCGTCGACTCCCCAGAAAAGATATAGGAAACTATGGGGAGTGGGGGGGAAGACGAAAACCCAGAAAATGTGAGGGAGGAGGGAGGAGGGAGGAGGGAGGAGGGAGGAGGGAGGACGGAGGAGGGAGGAGGAGGAGGAGGAGGAGGAGGAGGAGGAGGAGGAGGAGGAGGAAAAGATGGGGAATCTTCTTATCTGTGTGTATTTGTTTGTGTGTTTGTGGGCCCCTGTCATAGGGATTTGCCACAGGTCGGGGGGGCGAGCGCTCGTGGTGCCTCGCGCCTCGCCCTCCGCGCGGCGCGCGAAGGGCGAGGCTGGGCGGCCCGGTTGCACCGCGTCCCTGGGTCTCGCAGGGCGGGCGCCCGCCGTGCGCCTGCACCCCCAGGCCCCCTCGCGTCGTGAAAAAATCGCGACGGAAGGTTTTTCTCTATTTTCCCCCTCTGGAGGTCCTCACCGGGCCGCGGGAGCGTCAAAAAACGACTCAGGATGAAAAACCGGTCCCGGGGAAAGGGTCCAGACCTCTGGGGGTCGACGTCATGAAAAAATCACGACGTCGGGGGTACCCATCTTGGCGGCGCGCAAAAGGGGGTAGGGGGAGGGGGGAAGGCTTCTAAGAAGCACCCCTGCTTCTTAGAAGGCCTCGGCCTCACGTCTATAGAGGAGGCCCGCGCCTTCTAAGGAGCAGGGGCGCTTCTAAGAAGCCTTCCCCCCTCCCCCTACCCCCGTGTGCGCGCCGCCACCCATCCCAGCCCCAGCACAGGCCTGGCCAGGCGCGGTGCGCGCGCAGCCAACTCAGGAGGAAAAGAAGCACACAGACACAATGAATCCCCGATATTCCCGAAAATATAGGAAAATATGGGAAGTGGGCGGGAAGACAGAAACCCAGAACATATAGGAAAATATGGGGGATGTTTTTATTTGTGTGTATTTATTTGTGTGTCCTTGGGCCCCTTCATCAACTGCAGGATTACAGTCGGGGAAGGAACCCTTTTCGTTGGGGAGGGGCTCCGTGTTCCTGAAGTGTTTCACAGCTTGCCTCAGGTTTTTCTTTTGTTTTCGATCGGAAATCGAAGTTCAACTTATGGAAAAAAGGGGCCTCGTTCCTTATTTAGGGTTCCTTCAACGCCCCGACTGTAGGCCTGGCCAGGCTCGGTGCGCGTGCAGTCAGCTGCAGGAAATATCGGGAAGACTTGGATGTCCACAGGTGCCCAGCGCCTCGCTTCCAGTCTCGCGGGCCCTTCCGCCGGCCTCCGCCGACGCCGATGTATTTCAGGAGGGAAGAAAATCACACAGACACAAGTAATCGTCGATTCCCCAGAAACTGTGGGAAAACATGGGAAGTGGGGGGGACGACGAAAACCCCCAAAAATATTGGAAAAGACGGGGGATATCTTTATTTGTGTGTATTTATTTGTGTGTCCTGGGGCCCCTGCAGTATTTCCGCCAGCTTCCGCCGAAGACGAGATGTGCTGAGGGCGCGGCTCTCTCTCTCTCTCTCTCTCTCTCTCTCTCTGTTGAGCCTACAAGATCGGTCTCCGCCCTGCCTTGCGCCGTAGTGTCCGTTCTGGCGCTGCCGCTTCGCGGCGGCGGCGGTACCGCCGAGGCCTCGTCGGCGGGGACGACGAGGACG